GATGAACACATGAACATCTAAATTCCTAGAAAAGCAGAAATTTATGATGGATTTCTGCTGATGTCACCATTGAACTGGCTACAGGATTTCAGTTCCAAGCAAGTACAGAAATTATTCATACTCATAAATCCACCAGGATATATAGCAGACTTTGGCTGAGTAGTCTGCCTTAGTTGAATGAAAGTAAAGTACCAGATGAGAATGGAGATTCTCAGAAAAAGAAAAAGGAATTTGTGAGTGTTAAGAGCTGTGTAAAAATGACAGAGATGAACTATCTAAATGGAGAGTACAGAGAACATGAGGCAGAATGCTGTACTTCAAGTCTAGTACTCTTCTGTTTTCATGCATTTTTCTTACTCTCCCTTAGACTTTGAAGTTAAATCTGTTTTTTAAAAGTCTAATTAACTTTGACTTTATTTAAACACCTTAGTTTAGACATGTTCCATCAGGGCTATTCAGGTAGATAAAGACCAATCCCTCAATGTCCATAAAGAGAAGACGGAAAAAGCAACATGCGACAAAATATTTATTTTATAAGCAAATACTTTCTAAAACTAATCTGTCATTTTTACACAATTCAATTTATTTGTTCACTTGTTTTCTGTTGCCAGGACTTTCCCATACTTAAAATCTCAATTTCCTTAATGGAAATGGGAGTTTTGTTCTGAAGTCATTGGCACAGTGTTTGTGAAACCAGAAACAGAACTGTAAGGTTTCCAAGACTGTTCATACTGTCCTGAAAACAAAGAGAGAAATTCCTATGCAGAAAACAGCACAACAGCAGTTTGAGGGAGCATCAGCAGGCAGCCTCCAGTCAAAACATCCAGATGCCTGTCCAGACCATAGAGTAACACAAAACCATTAATCTCATCCTTATGCTAGAGCCATTTCCCAGATGTAGCCAGCTGAAATTTGGCATTGCCTTGTGTAACTGCTCTTGTGTGAGAATTGCCTGGCAACATGGCATTTTCCCAGAAGCACCAAGAGGCAGAAGAGGCCTGGCTGCCACTGCAGAGTTGTGGAGGCACCTGGTGGGAGAGTGAAGGTTGGGCCTGACCTCCTGCCTATCCCTCCAAGCACTGCTGGTCCAAGCACCATGTCCTGAAGCTGCTCAAATGGTGGTGGATACATGGAGTACCAGAGAGTAAGAAACAAGGAGCAGAGTGCATGAGGAGCTCAGCTTGAAGAGGCTGTTATAGTACCCACAGATTAGGATAGAAGTGGGCACATCATATGCCAGTCTGTGGTATGAGACTTCCAAAAATCACATAAGAATGGAGTTTGTATTAAGCTTTTCAGAAATCGGAACACACAGACCCGAAGACTCTCAGAACTTCTAAGCCAACTTCTAATGCCTTTGTTGTGATTTTTGCATGGCAAAATGGATGCCTGTTAGTCCACTGCGTGATGCCTAGTAGCTGTGAAATTTAAACAACTGAAGAAAATCACCATTGTGTTCACTACATGCCCCTGGACACTCTGAATTTTCCCTGGACGGTCTGGGGAGACTATGTAATTACCATTTCAAAACTATTTTGAAAAAAACTTTCTGGAAAACAGCACAATCTTGGGTATTTTAAGCCTTGGTAGATTGTTATATTGAGGAGTTATATTTGTGGACATAGCTCCAAACCTATTTTAACTCTAGACCCGTATGTAGGGGATTGTATTAGCATCTTAGAAAAGCTGAAGTCATTATACAAAGTCTGCCTTCAGTCAGATGACATTCATGTCCACCAGTTTCCAGCTTCTTTTTCTTTAGCTGCTGTTAATTTCATTTTTTTTTTCTTTTCATTCAACATACTCAACTACATCAAGGCTTTGTAGTTCATGTTTTCAAATTGGTCACAGCTTAACAGTAGAGGACTGTGCTAAATTTTGTAGTGGCCTTTTAAAATTTGATACACCCTATTTTTCTCAAGGCGTTGAAGTAAATGTCAGATGTGCAGGATGGTTTGATATATTTTTTCGCCTTTTGGAAAGATTGGCTATTTTTTTGCATATTACAACTCCAAGCAAATGCTTGTAGTTTTTTCCATGTTACATGTATGCCAGTGAACAGCTCTTTCCCACACTTTAAATCATCTGAGTTCTGCAGTACATTAAAGTAAGCACTAACTCACCATATCAATACAAAACCCTGTATTAGCTGCAGCTATCAAAGCAAAAATTGCTTCATACGTTGAGGCAATCAGCAGAATTCACCACCAGATTTCTGTCAGATAGTAAACTGAGTGTGCTTCTAAAACAGTAAGTGGATCTAACCTAACAGATATCCTACAGCCAGACCTAGTGCTGGATAAATCACAACTTCAAATATATATTCCAGAAAAAGAATGCTTATCTGTGTGTCTAAAAATAGTTGCAATTCAGACTAGAACAGTATGACATAAATATGAAAGTAATTTAGGCCTTGTCACAGGCTATTTACATTTGTTCTGTTGTGAACTTCTATGTTTATGCATCACTGATTGAGGGGATGTTTAGTATTTCTGTGGTAATACAGGTGTTCCATATTCTCACCTAGAGATATCTGCATTAGCTAGGAACGATCCTCTTTGAAATCACATCGCAACTCTAGAGCTGCAAGATGGGGTCTTTGAAGTGCCTAGTGAGCCTCTACATGGGGGAGTCACTCACAAGGTCTTTCGGCACTGCAAGTCTAAGCTATTGTGGTAGTTAATTATCTTAGCCTCAGCAAGCATCCTTATTAAAACAAAGCTACATGGTTAATGCTAAACATACTGTTGATAACAGCAATGCATGTTAAGTGCCAAGAAGGAGTTATGGCAAAAAGTTAAGTGCTCATCTTTTACCTCTTCAAGCTCATTCCTACAAAGTCTGCCCCTCCTGGTTCAAGTCTGTGTCTTTTACTCTTGCTTTGGGTATGTGACAATAGTAATTTAGATGAATGAAGGGGATTTCAAAATAAAGTGATCCCTCATGCCCTCTTATTAGGACCCACAAGAGTGGTCCCTGAGAAGGTCAGCTTCTGTTAAATCCTGAAGTAACCACAAGGTTATCTAACCATCCTAAGTTTCTTGGGGTTATTTGGTTCTTTGTGATGATTGTAGACTGAAATAAAGCTCTTCTGGTTTACCAGAATCAGGCTTACAAATAGGTGAGTTTCTGTTCCCTTCAGCAGCAAACCACCTAGTCATGATTCTGTTGTAGAAGTTTTGCTGTTCAGTAGTAATAACTAAAAGTGAGACTTTGAACTGGTTTGAAAGTTGCTGTGGACTGGATGCTTAGTCAACAGGCAGTTAGAAGGTTAACTGAAGAGAGGGAAAACATAGTGGGGATTGAGAACAAAGACATATGAAAAGAAGTGAAGAAACTGAGTGTTACAAATATTTAGAGATTACTTTTTCCACTTTAATTGGCAAGCTATCATTTGAATCTATATACAATAGATAGATTTTAAAATTTTTTTTTAATTTAAGTTTACTTAGTAGGGAAATGGACATGCAGTGTTCTCATCTGTGTGTCTAATAAAATCTTAATGACTGGAATTGAGTTCTTACCTAAATTACAATGTTGAAACATAGATAGGCCCCATGTCAGATAGATAATTACTGCTTGCCATTATTCCTATGGTCTTTGCCATCACCTTCTGCTTAAAGCAGACACATAAAGTAAATACCATGAATCACCTTCTGAAAGTGTTTATTTCTCGCTGATGATTATTAACAGGCACTAGATGATTCCACTACAGGCAGAGTTGGAAACAAGTAAGATATGTCTAATGTTTATTGTAGTGAATCTTTATATCACTGTGATATTTTTCTCTAACGAGCAGGGATTTTTTTTATGTTCTGTGCATTATTACCAGAGCATTATGACAGTGCACTAATTAATGCTGTGACTTAAAAAGCTCCTCGTCATCCCTTTGGTTTTCAGGTTTGATTTCAGAATGGAAGCTTCAACTCAGTAAAATCCACAGTGTTAAAAAGTACTGTATGTAGCACATATCTAGAAAAATAGACCCAGAAATAAAGATTAATCCAGACTTCAGTATTTGCATATGGAATAAAACAGGGTAAATAAACACAGTGCAAATGCCTCAATATTGTTAGTATAACCATGATAATTTTCTTCTTTTTCTCTCCAGGCATGATGACATCAATTGGAAAAGCCAGAAATCTGACAGTCAAAAGAGTACTGAAGAGCCAGAACTGCAGGAATTCTTCCTCTAAACCACATTATGATGTCTCACTTTGTTTGAAATACCTGAAATGTAGCCTTTTGAAACATTAATATGAGACATACCCCTCACCAGCAAAACAGCAGCTGTTAGGATGCCTTAATTTGTAGCAGTTAGACCATATACAAATCTTTTTTATGCTATATGTGTATATGTAACTTGTTTGTAAGCTGTGCTGTGTAAAGGCATGGATGAGCAAAAGTAACAATTTGAAATTGTTATGACACAGGCAACCTCCAAAATGTTTGTTGGGCCACAGAACACATTTTGTACTTCGTGTCTTGCATGGATATATTGTCATATATCTTTATTTCCCTTTGTCAATGGCATATATTGTCAAAGTTTCAGCCAGGACTCTGCCTGCACAGCTCCTCAGTGAGACCAAGGCAAAAGCATTGATTTTTTATTTTTTTTTAGTATGCTTTGTCTGTTGTTATTTCTATTTTTTGTAAAAAGGAAATAAAGACAGTGTTAATAGGACATACTTGAGTGCAGATACTTTGATACTTCATTCCTCTTTTGAACTGTAAGTTTTTATTGATCTGTCTGGTGTGCATTTGATCATGAGACAACATCCAGTACCCTGATTTCAGTTCAGTCAATTAGTTGAGTCAAGAGTTGTTTTAATATTTAGTGGTCCTTTATCAACTTTAAAATATGTAAAATTAAAAAGAAAGTATAAATGCAATTTTAAATTACCAATTACTGTTACTTGCCAAAGACTGACAATTTGCTCAAGTTTGTGTGAATTACTGAATAATCTGCTGAAACTCTAGTCTATATTCTTTCAAAGCTGTCATGATCTTTTTATTGATTGTTCTGTGAACCTTTCAGAGAAAATGAATGAATTTACTTGATTTCTGGTAAACTATAAGTACATTTTTCAAATGTGTCATACAGCACAATATGCAAAAGCTGACTACTAGACAATCTTGTCACATATATTTATATCAAATATGTGTGTATAAATTTGCTTTATTTTGATTATATTGGTTTATTTCCATGTGAAGACTTCTATGGCTTGCTGAGAAAGGTCCAAATACATGACGATTTATTTTACTGGTTGTTCTAATAGAACATAGGGAAGTCAAAGGAAGTTTGCCAAATAAATTTTTTATTTGTCACAAAGACAATCATAGAATCATAAAGTGCTTTGGGTTAGGAGGCACCTTTAAAGATCTTTGAGTTCCAACCTCCCCGCAGTGAGCAGGGACATAAAAAATTATCAAACAAAATTCTTGAAGTTGCAGAACTAGTAACTAAAATCTGTATCCACGTGAGGATATTGATTAACTACAGTGGAGTTGCTTTCTGTGCAGTTTGTCTTGCCTGCTTTTTTTATTTTTTTGCTGTGTTTATCTTGACTATTGGGCTTAGGTTCTGGTCAGTGAGGAGATAGAGGAACTTCCTGAATGTGATTCATTCTACCTATTAGAGATACCTCATTTACAGGAGTACCAGCTTGTCCCTTCCTACATACTGAAGGGAAGCTGAGCTAGTAAAGCTCTAAAGAGTTACTTAGTATTTGGATGCCTTTAATTAAGTGAGATAAATGGCTTTCTTTGTGTCAGTCTTCAGAGTGAAGTCATGTTTGGCCATAGAGCCACCATGGACCTAGATGACTGAATGCCCCAGGCACCCTGTTTATAGGCTTTGGATAAGGACAGAGTACTACTGGATAAAGTTGAGCCAATTGAGACATCAGAAAAACAAAGCAAAACTATACAACCACAAAAAAAAACAACCCACACAAATGGAAAAAAATAAAAGCATGTACTTAGAGAAATGAAATTCAGACATTCTTTCCAGAGTTCTTAGCTGTCACTTGGCAACAGTTTGATTTTTGAGCTAAAGTGATAAACCTAGCACTCTAGGTGACCTGGGCTGTGGTGTTTAAAATAACAACCAAACCTCCAAAAATATCTGAGCCAGGAACAGCAATACCTCTAACTGGGCCTCATGTCATCTGTGTGCATACAAAAAATCCGAATGCAAAATGAGAAGAGACACATGTGGTGCAATTGCCAGAGTGCTGAAGGAGAGCTAAAAAGGAGAGATTCTCTGTCTGGTAGGCTCAAAACAAACTGGAAATGTGCATTTTTGAGAATATAAAGAAAGTTGACTGTGGTCATGAGAATGGCAGAAGAAGCAAACCTGCTAAGTGGTCTTGACTGACCAGAGATGAGTGAAGTCTGCCACAGCTGTCTGTAGTATCTAGCTGAAGCCGGGGTTAAAACAATTTCAGTGAAAGGATTTGAAACAGACCAAGATGTAAGATTTTTGTCAAATTCTGGAAGAAAGAAATTGCCTATTCGGGAGACTGAGGATTTAAATGTCCCTTGCTCCCGCAGGGTAGCAATTTCTGGGGAATATTCTCATACAGCACATGGAGAAGCAAATTATGCAAGTATCCCAGGGCAATAGAGTTTACTACATGAGGTAGGATGGGGATGCCAGAGGATGTTCAGGGTCTCTGGTTCCTGAGCACATTGCAACAGAAAGCTGTTTGAGGGCTAGCTAGTACAGAAGAGAGGCCAACTTGATAGAAGCATGATCAGTAGTGTCTGGAAGGTTTAAGGTGAACTCATGGCATATAAACTGCTGATTTTATTGTTCCTAATTTGTAGTTTCTTTCCTGACTAGGGCCTCAAAGCCTGCATATGGTACACTCTGATGTCATGCCTTTTGGAGAAATGCTGATCCTGTGATCTTCAGCTGGCTGAAGCGTGTGTGCTCTTTGTATTTGTATCCATAATAGCTATAGAATCCAGGTGCCATAACTCCTTCTGTTTAGTTTATAATCCTCCAGGCAGATCCCTTCTGGCATGAGTCTAAGTCAGGCTTCTGTCAGCAAAACGTGTTTCCCAGAGCGGAAGAGATGATAGGGAATTTCCAGCAATCTTCAGCTAGCCAAAGCTTTTAACAGGAACACAAACTCCTTATGATTACAGCTCTTGCAGAAAATGGCCTCCTCTGTCCACTCAGAAATTTTCAATCAAAGAAGACAGTGATTTGCTAGTGAATCAATGTGTGTCCTAATAAGACTCTATTAGACATCATGGATGCAAAGAATAACTTGTCATGTTCTGTCACCCCTAAAGATGTCACAGTAAGGCCCCTCTTTGTCCAGTTGTTCTGTGCCAAAGGTGATAAATAGAGTCCCAATTTCAGAAAATCTCTGACTCTTCTTTATTGAAAAATGAAAATAATTTGTTAAGATCCTTGTGGTTTTGTTCATGGTTGACCATTTGTTTCCGGTATTTGAGATAAGCAGCCTATAGATACATGCAGCATCAAAATGTCAAGGATGGTGCTTTATTTCATCAGCAGAATGGTGGGCTATCCTTCCTCCTGCATTAATAGAGCAGGGTTTTAATAATATTTCATCTATTTGTTCTTCATTCTATGTATTACAAACCATACATCAGTTTAGTAAGTTACTGCTGAAAAAACTATAGTCAGCATAGTTGGTGTGTGAAGGAGGTGAAAGACATATTAGAGTTTAGATTTAATACTCATTTCACTGTAACTGTCATTCAGAAACCTTTTTGTAACATCAAGCTGACATAAGATCAATGACATAATAAAATGTGATTGACAGCATAACAGTACAAAAAATACTCCCTACATCCACTATTTATAACAAAATGTTAACTGTCTCAGAAACATGTTCTCTGAGAGCTGATTTGTTACATGTTTCATCACCTGCCTTCAAAACCACTGTCAGAATATGGCCGTGCAACACAGTAAAATGTAAAGCAAAAATGTCAGCACATCATATGCTAGGTATGAATTAATGGATTAGTGAATGGAACTCATGGTGAGACAACTTTTGTATGCATGTAGACTAAGAGTCACCTCCTTGTACCCTTGAAATACTTCTTAGCCTTAAATAAGCCTACTTGATGAAAAATCGACATAAAGATTTGTGAAAAATGTAGTCCCTGCATCAAACTGCAAAGCTTAATTGTCTGTCATGAAGTGATTTCTCAATGGCACAATAGGAATAATTTCTCAGATTATATTGCATTTCCTGTTTTAAGTTCAGAAATGTCTTTCCAACTGTACATCAGCTGTACCCAAGTATAGTCTGTTACACAACTAGCTTTTGTATAACCTTGTTTCTCTGTTTAGAAATGCATTTTGAGGCTGCAAGTAAGTACACAGTTATGCAGGAGAAGTAAGTACAGTGCATGCCCTGCAACCAAAATGTCTTAGAAACACTGAACTATGTTGAATTTAAGTTGCCCAAGTGTAAGAGCCCAAGTAGTGGAGTTCATCCTCTGTCTGCACAGTATCACTGCCACATCACCTTGCATACACCAGACATACTGCCCACTATTTATACCCATCTTTTCTTCATTATCTTGACCACAATATGTAACTCTGATGTAAGTATCAGACTTCAGCCAGGAGAAATCAGCTAGGTTTTTAATATGCCACACAATCTCTTCCAAATAAAGGGTGATACAGAGCCAGCTTCAACTACCTATCCTCCTTGAACACATTTAATAATGTATCACTGGTCTTCCAGATACTCCAGATTTTGTAACATGGACTGCTTTGGTCTAACATACATGGGCAGCTACAAATAATAGCTCAAGCCATCTGTTTCCTGAAGAACATGTTACTCTGATGTCTGCAGAGCCACTTCCTTTCCCACTCTTAACTGGTAGGTGTTTTGCCAGCGTGCTTACTGGCAAGCAGCGTACAGGAGGAAGGAAAATAATATTTTAGGTCTATTTTGGAAACTGATAAGAAATCCTGAGGCTGTTAGAACATAGAACTAGCTTTTTATCTCTTTTGTCAGTCAGCAATACTGCTTCAGGAAAAGACAAAACTCATGTGGGCCTGAAAGGGAAGGGAAAAGCCCTGCAAGGGTTTGCTTTCTTTCCTGTAGAGACATGAACATAAACTTACATGTAGATGGTCTATAGATACATGTAGAATCTTGCAAAACTGCAGAATAGGGACCAACTCAGAGGGTTTACAGTGCAAAAAGCTGTGGCCTGGACATACACCTGTGTGTCTGTGTCCCAGTCGATAAGACTCGAGAGTGTTCGATTGATTGCCCCAGTGTGAATTAAGACACAAACGAGGTCAAAATGCCATTAGGGAGTGAGATTTTATTATTGGTTACTCAGCGCAGGAGAGAGAAGAGGAGATTGGAAAGTTAGAAAAGGGAGGAAGAAAGCTGCAGTAGAGATAGTCACTACCATAGGTCCCAGCAGCATTCCGATGATCTGTAGTCCGGTAGAAATGGGGATAGTCACCACCATAGGTCCAGCAGCATCCTGATGGTTCATAGTTGTCTTTTCTTCGGTGGTGGGTGTGCGCCCCATGCTCTGGATATTGGTCCTTTTCATAGGGCTCTGTTGTGCACTGATTGGTCAGTTTCTGTGGAGCTGGCCAATTCCCAACTTCTGATCTCAGTCGTGAACAATGGTGGACAATGGTGCCTCCCGGTCTAGGCATCTGAA